TCAGATTATGAATGAACAGTATGAAATTCATCAACATTGAAATATATTTTATTATCAAAATAATATTGAACTGTTATCAAAACGTAGTGCAACTGTAGAAGCTTGCTCTGTTGTCTTACTGAAATAATAACTTTTACCACGTTTTCTACAGACAATATTGAGAGATAAATAGTAGCAGTTCTCACTATGTGTTAAATATATTTGCCTTCAATACATTACATTAGAAAGCTGACAGTCATATTGCTTGTTAACATCTAAATGTAACCTTTTGCATGGAAAAAACCCTCAACTTCACTGATGTGTAGGTGATCTAGTATGTAGTATTGTTTAATAGAATGTATATCAGTGTATTAAAGTCAATACTTCATTTATTTAAACCAATATCTTTCTTGATTCTTTGTACAGTATGAAAAAAAGAATCATTGTACCTGTGCTGAAGTTCACTGCTATGAGGAGTCCAGTTCTGTCACTCACTCTCTGGTCCAGCCTGTCAGCATCACCTGGACACTTTAAACAAACAGATATATATGTAAAGTACCATGTGTACAAACAATATCACTTATTCTCTTCTGTTGAACATGTTGGATTGTGTATTGTCCGAGTCAGGGTCCTTTTTATTTTACTGTAACTTTGGAAGAACAAATGAAATGCAATGAATAAGCTTAATTTTAACTGAAGCACACATAACGTCTGATCTAATATTTTTAACAAATCATCCCTAAAGCATTGACTAGGCTATTCATCGTCCTTAAATGCAGGCATTAAGTTACATGTTCACGTTCTACAGCCACAATTAGTTGGTTTCACAAGTAAGCATTGGTATTACCAATGCTTACTATTTATTTGATACCAATTTGGTAATACAATTAATAAAAACAACAAGATCTCTAAGTTACAAGGATGACCGTTTGTTCTACAGTATTATCCCACTTAACACTTCTCTATTTCGTTTAAACTTGGAGGCTACGATTAGCATCGTTAGCACAGATGTAGCTAGCTACCACTCGCTTACACGCTAACCCAAGCCTTAACATTAATTACGTAGCTGATTCAAATCATAAACACATAAATAAAGTACTCGAATTTCACTTACCGCAAAACAGCATTCATGCACCGTCTGTTTTAACCGCAGAGCGAGTCACAATAGTCCGATATAAGCATGAAGAACAAACAAACACGGCCGAGTTCAAGTTATGTTTCCCGGATGAGCTGATGAGTTTCCCTGTAGCATCACGGAGCTGCTAGCAGAGAGACAGGAAGCTTACAGCAGCAGTCACTGGACGGAGCTGTCACTCAATGTGACCACGCCCTAATTTATGTCTAATTTATGTCTTTTTTTTCATAAAAAAAAATGAAAACCCCACACAGACACCTGCTCCACCGGCGTTCCTGCCAACACCATGTCCTGTCCTGTTGGGGGTCCCGCCGACACCTGCTCCACCGGGGTTCCTGCCAACTCCATGACCTGCTTCGTTGGGGGTCCTGCCAATACCGGTTCCGCTGGGGGTCCCGCCAACACCATTTCCTGTCCTGTTCGGGGTCCCGCCAACACCTGTTCCGCCGAGGGTCCTGCCGACACCAGCCCTTGTTCCTTCGGGAACACCTGTCCCGGCAACTCCGGTTCTTGTCCCGCCGGGGGTCACGCTGACACCGGTTCCTGTATTGTCGGGGGTCACGCCGACACCGGATCCGCCGGTGGTCCAGCCGGCCACAAACCCTGCCCGTCCATGTACCCGGCACCCTGAGTTTGCCCGCCGCGGCCTTCGCCGCTTCTCTGCTTCTGCCGTCCGTCCGAGTCCCCATCCTCAAACTCTGCCTTGCCCCCGGGCCTTCCGCCCGAGGCCCCCTCCTTGAACTCCGCCTTGCCCCCGGGCCGTCCGCCCTCCACCCCCTCCTTGAACTCTGCCCTGCCCCCGGGCCGTCCGCCCTCCACCCCCAGTTTTGGACATTGTTTTGTTTTAAGGGACGTCTGGAATCCGTCCCTTGAGGGGGGGGGGTTATGTCATGATTTTAGTTTTGTGTGTTTAGTTATTGCCCTTGTGTTTCTGCCTCCCCTGCCCAGCTGTGTCTTGTCCTGTGATTACCCTTCTGTGTATTTAGTCTTTTCTTCCCCTGTGCTCCTTGTCTGATCGTCGTCTTTTCCTTACCATGTTACCTGCGTGCTCCCGTCTGTAAGATTGTCCTGTTGCATGTGCTCCCCAGTTTGTTAGTGTGTATTTGTTTCTTGTTGTCATCGGCTTTTTTAATAAAGCTCGCCTTTTATTCCTTGACTTTTTTTGTATTTTTTTAAATGCACTTGGGTCCTAATTTTCCCCTAACCCCTAGATTCCACCGGGTCCGTCTGCGCCGCGTTACGGCTGCGCCGCGGTTTTGGTCCGGCCTCCTCCGGCGTCATACCCTACCAGGCGCGTTTCAGAAGCATTTCAGAAGCGGAGCGTCTTGCCTGCCAGCTCGCAGTTTTTGTTGATTTGGGCATATTTCCTGGACAGGCTACTTTGTACAGACAAAGTTAATAATAACTGTAATATTCCAGTTATAAACGACATGAATCAAAGATGTGTTGCTGTATTTTAGTGGTAAAAAAATGCATTCATCATCATAATTATTCTATATATATCATTTACACAGTGCCTGTAAACCGGAGGAGAACGCTGGCATTTCTCCTCCTACTTGAAAGACTACGGAGGGATATGGTCTGCAAAATTTGTTTGTGTGTGTGTATATATCTATATATATATGCTATATATGCTCTGAACGTTCCACTTCCTGCCTGCCCGACCTTACGTTACGGCTGCGCCGCGACAAAAATAGGATTCGATCCTAATTTTAGAGGAGCCCTGCGCCGAGCCGCTTCTGGGACGCTTCTGGGTCGCTTCTGAGCCGTAACGCGCCGCGTGTGGTGGAATAGCACCCATTGACTAGAGTGGCCGCGATCGCCGTGAGCACTGCGGCGCAGCCGTTACGTAACGCGCCCCCGTAACGCGCCCCCGTAACGCGCCCGTAACGCGCCCGTAACGCGCCCGTAACGCGCCGCAGACGGACCCGGTGGAATCTAGGGGTAAGCTGACAAGCAATGTACTTTCCCAAAAGTCTTACAACTTTTTTTAAGTTTTTAAGATACATTTTCACATCAATGTATCATAGCTTGCGACGACACAATGTTATGCCACATTGGGGTTATCTGGATGTGATTTAACTGTTATGTCTTAGTTTTTGACTAAACTCTGGAACTCAAAATCCATATGTCTTAAACATGTCCTTATTATAGGTAATATATATATATACACTGTGGTATCTGTTCATGGTATTTTCTTCACCCCACATGGTGTTTATCAAAAACAATAAAGTGACACACGCCGCGAGCAGGCCACCACCTAGCAATACAGGAAGCAGGTCAAATATTTATTTTGCAGAGAAACTATGCAGTGTGGTGAGAAATGCTATTGGTCTGTCATCACTTCTTAAAAAAACATGGCATGTTCTAGTTTGAACAAAGTAGATCGAAACACCACAGAAGCTTCTTTGGCAATGAGTAATAGTGTGTCACCTTGCATGAGCTACCTTCTTTTAAGGTCACTGGGTTTTTTTGTGACCACTTCCTGTCACATGTTCACCTTTAGGAAATTCTCTCAGTTGTGCTCAGCCATAACAAAGACACTGGCTCTTTACTGGCATCCTCAGGTTTCGTTTTACACTGCCTTACAATGGACCAGACTCTTAAGGAGAGGCTGATATCTAATTGTGTTTTTTTTAATGGTTCAATTATATTTTACTATATATAATTGAGCTTTATAAAAATTGCATTTGAATGTCATACAAAGCAGCATGAATAGCAGTGTGCAGATGTCATTAGTTTGATGGTGTTTTGTCATCTACTAACGTTTGTATGGATTTTGAGCTCATGGAAACCCAAGATGAAAAGTCCTAAGATCACCCATGTCGATATGAATCATGTTCTGAGAATGCATTTTAACCTGTTAAGCACTGAGCCTGTTTTTCAGGTCTCAGGCTCGAAAATGACATTCCCAGAACAAATGACCATATCTTCCCTTCTAAAAGGGTTAAATTAATAATCTTTATTCTCAAAGTAATGATAAACCTGTGAGTTGGATGTAGAAAAGTCAGAATCAATATAGATGTTTTTTATTTTAAAGAAAATTCAGATTTTACATAGTAAAAAACTGTAAATTATAGTGTGCGTCCAAAAATTCTTTTTTACTTATAGTGAAAACCACCCTTGGATGATGGGTTAGTAGACTAAAAGCTTTAGGAATCCAAAGTACAACATATAATAAGTACCCTGTATCAAGATTGATGCAAAACAAGTGAAATTTGACCTATCTCTGGCCCCCCTCTGGCCCCCCTTGGTCGATTTTGATGAATGAAATCTCTTTATAACCGCTAGAGCCAATGGAATCGAGGGAAAGTTCTATACACACCAACACGTTAACAAATAAGGAGTGAGAGTGACGCGTGACCAAAACCGGAAGCTGCATACACTCTGGCTCCGATTTTTACATAAAAATGAATAATTTTTTCAAAAGCACAGATACATTATTAACCTATGGATGAACAGTTGTAGCCTTTTTTTTCTTCGTTTTAATGCCATTGAACACGTCTTTTGATCTAATTGACAGCTACGGTGAGACGATCTGCCGTAAAAGCTCCGTAAAGGTACGTGTTGTGATGTCTGTGATTGCTTCCCCTGTCGCAAGTTCGGATCGCTCAGTGATGATACTATACCTATTATAATCTGTGGAGTCTCAGCTTTAATCGGATATATTGTATGTGTAGCTACGATAAGTAATAAGGGTATCTTTATCTTGAGTTGTGTGCTAAAGTGCGTTAGCATTTTTTCGCTTAGTGCTAATTCAGAGGCTTGGTATTACCCTTGTGTTTTGTTTTGGTAAAAATGGTTCATATCTTCAGTTAGCTGAGATTCTTCCTGTTAATCTGGTGCTACACATTAATAGTTTCATAAATGTTAAGAAGCCCTGAGACATTGTCTCGAAAAAAAAACGGTGGGAGGGGTCCAATGGGGGGAGCGTCGTCCTTAAGAGGTTAAAAGTTTCATGGCAATTCATCCAAAGGTTGTTGAGATTTTCTCTATCTGAAATTACCTAAAATGAAAAAAGATCTGAAGTCTGAACAGTGATTTGAGATCCTGCATTGCTTAGTGAAAAAAAAAACATGAACATTTAATAAACATTTTCCTAATAAGTAGATGATTCTGCACAGTAAAATATGTATGCAGTCTTCAATATAAGTCAATGTTGTGCTGTGGGGCAGTAAAATCATTTAAATTCATCTCACAGGGAGTCCGTCTTCACATCGAAGACCAGACCTTTCTTGTATATCAGCATGGCGATCTCATTGTCCAGCTGTTCGACATCTGTCATTTCTCCTTCTCTGGAGCTCCTCAGTGCCTCCTCTGTAGAGCCAGGACTCAGACACTCATCACTGGACCCTCCTAACATCCTTGAATCCCATCTCTCGTTGTCCTCGTCCTCATCAGTGTCTTCCTCCCACTCTCCAGCGAGAACAGCGCTCTCTTCTGCGTCTTCAGGGACAGACTTTACCTCTGGATGAAGCTGGAGCAGCGTCAGCTCATCCACCTCCTCCTTTCTCTCCATAAAACCCTGTTCACATTAGCAGAGGAATGTTGAATGTAAAAATTTAAATCCTATAATTATCTGATGAAGAGTGTAAAAGTAAATCTTTTGTTTGCTGCCCTGTTTGATTGCCATAAATAGTAAACAAACAGGACCTACACAAGCTCTGTGGTTCACACAGAACAATGGGAGTGAGTTTTTCCGATCACAATAGCAGTTGACACACTAAGTTACTGTAACCTGTCTTTACTATGACGGAGAAAATGATCATGGTTCTGCTTTCCGGTCAACATCACAGTTGGTGGTTTTTTCACATCGTCTTTCTACAGTTTCATGAGGGACTTTCCTTTGTTTTATCGAAACGTATAACGCATCCAGCAACACCAGCTGCCTCCCCATGCCTGTCTTTTACGCTTCTAAATACTAAGCTCTTCTCATCACAGTAGACGATAAAGTCGTACTCGGTTGTATTTAATATCAGTGTAAGTCATTAGCATAATGTTAAAACACCTTGCCCCAAGGCACTTGTAAACCTAAAAAACCGAAATGACCACAGATTAATTTGTCAAGCTTTCAGAAGGAGACAAAAGTCAACATCTGCTTAACAGCTGTAAATCTGTTAAAGAAATGTCTCTTACCTGACTCTCTGGTTGATAAGGGATGAAATCTGGAATAACAGGTGTCGGCACAGCAGGGAAGATGTTGTCTTTGATTCTAAGTGTTGGAAAAAAAGTTTAGAAAAAGATGAAACTTCGGATTTGAAGATTGCAAAAGTTCAAACAAACCAAATTCCTAAAGGCTGCTATGGCATTTACTCTGAAAATATGAGAGCGGGTAATAAACAAAAGCAGCACAGTTTGGCAAACTGTAGAATATTACAGGAGGGTTCACCTACCTCTTCAAGATGCAGGTGCACATTGTTGTGAGTATAACAAACAGAAACAGCAGGCAGAGCTTCCACAACACTAATTTAGGAGAAAAAATGAAAATGGTGTTTGCTCCCACATGTGTAAAAACGGCTACAGTGACCTGTATGTAACTAAAAATACAGAAATACAAGGCCGTTTTAATACCATTCACAGGCTTCTCTGGCAGCGTGTTGATAGTGACTGTGGCTTCAGGTCCTTCTCCTACTCGGGTCACTCCAACCAGGCTGACCCGGTATGTAGTTTCTTGCGTCAAGTTTCCGAGCCGGTATTTCATCACTGAGGCTGATATGTTATGGCACTCTGAAAAACGTTCAGAAAGGGACACACTGCTGACACTTAAACACACTTGGCTGTGATATTATAATGTTCCTTTTCTCACATGCTGTAAGCGTAAGTACGTTTGTTGTTCAATCAGAAGTATTACAATTGGTGAAGTATATTTAAAATACATAATCAAATAAATCTAAAGAAATATCTACTGATGAGTAAAAGGATAACCTTTGCGCTCATCCTGTGAACTGACTTTCACGCTGCACAGGCTGTAGTGTGTGAGGAAACCTCGCTGGTCTGTAGAGGGAATGGCTTTCCAAGACAAGTTAGTAGAATTGTGTGTTTCACTGAAAGCAATGAAGTCCTGAGGTTCTCTGAGGGGAGCTGCAGAGAAAAATAAAATGTTGGGTCAAAATGTTGGGTCAGTTGGGTCACCCAACATTTTGTGTCAGAAAAACCTATTTAATAAACTTAGCACTGCTTTATAACACTTCGATCTGCATTGGATCAGTGTCAGCATCATCCTGAGAATATCAAAATCTAATTTAAAGACACTTACCGCCCTCTTTTTGATAAAAGAGGCACATTTTATGTGTCCATGGTTTCCCATCAATGCATTTGTGTTCAAAGTACAGGTAGCGAACGTAGTCCTTAATGTCTGTATCAGAAACAGACCTTAGCCCTAAATCTGCATCTTGAAGCTCGAACCATTTAGGGCAAGTTTTCTTCTTTGGTTTTATATTCAGTAAGGTGTTGTCACAAACTACAGTGGGGAAAAGAAAAAAAAGCTTTAAAGATTAACTGAAAGATATATGATAAACTCACACACACACACACACACACACACACACACACACACACACACACACACACACACACACACACACACACACACACACACACACACACACACACACACACACACAGACACACACACACTTCGGCCTACTTTTTAACTCTGCAGCTGGTACGGCTGGTATTTGTAGGATTGCTGGTGGAGAACTTCCTGCTGCGTTTCTGCCGTTAACAAAGATTTTGACAGCAGAGTACGAGACAAAAGTAGTGTAATTAGTCTCAGTCGTGTTGATGCGATAATCTCTTATTTTCTTACAATTACAGCCATTGGAAGACTGTGTTTCATTCAGACTGTACATCTCGGCATGGGGCATCTTCTAAAGAGCAGAAGAGACAAACAGCAAAGTGAACCACTGAACAAGGTCACCATGATAAACTGTGAGTGGTACAAAGCAGCACCAGGTGAAACAGAGAAATCTAAGATGAAAAAGTGTAACAAACCCTGTTTAGAAACAGTCAAGAGAGTTTTATGTGCCAGGTTTCAACTCATTCAAACTGGTGAGGTTGAACAGTTTCTTTAAACTTTTAAAATAGTCACAAAATGTTTATCTCTATTTGGCAACATTTGTTTTATAAAATGACAAGACAACCTGAAGCTTAAATTCTACTCTAATAGTTCAACGCGGACCTTAAAGGTAGGGTAGGTAAGTTTGAGAAACCGGCTCGAGATACACTTTTTGTTATATTCCATGGAATGCTCTTAACATCCCGATAGCAATGAATATCTTAAGTGCTTTGACAAAAAATCCATTAAAAAATGTCATCTGTGGAAGCCGTAATACTGTAAAAAGTACGACCAATCATTTTAGCCGGCCCGGCTAAAATAACTGGCCTACCTGCCTGTCAGCCTTCCATCTGTGCACAAACTTATCTCGTGCCCTCATTGGTCATGTGCGCGTTCGTGTGTGTTGGAGGAGGGGCTCTGTAAGGAAGTGGCAGATTTTCTCCGGTTGTGTATTTTCAAATTCTAGCGATCTCGAGCTGGTTTCTCAAACTTATCTACCCTACCTTTAATGGTATATATAATTAATTTTGCACAATAACCTCAAGCGAAATGTAGTTCTTTGCAGTCAAATTAAAAAAATGTTATGGTGTTTTTTCTCTGCAGTAGAAAGGGTTTAACTGCGTACATTGTGAATATAAGGAATTTACTGTATCACATACATAATGTCAGGAATATACACAGCATTTTTATTTTTTATTAAATGCATCCCTATATTTGTATGTAGCCAGTGGCGCCTCAAGACGCTCTGGGGGCCCCAGGCAGAAGAGACATGCCACCCAACACATCAAGCACAACTGTAGTAAATATGTATTTTTCTAATCTCGACCCAGCATGAATGTATTGGTGTTGTTTCCGGACACTGGTTTACCTTCCACGTTAGCACCACCTTTCGAGTCCCATTTGAAAGGGTTATATTCATGGTTACTTCAGGTATTTGTTCCAGCTCTGCAATAAAAATACAAGATAGTGTTAATAAGGCTAGCATCTTAAGGTTGCATCTGCTCACATGTTTCCATCTACAAAGGTACAAATAAGGAGCATGTATGCATTTTGAAAAACAAATCTAGGGCGGGCAGCCTAATGTTCTTAGGGAGGTGTTTTATAGGTGTTGAAATACTCATAACAACCTGACTGCTATTAATAGATCAAATGCTCTGACAAAGAACAAAAAGGTCTGATATCTGTGGCTGTCACAGGACTTCAACCAACCTTCCTGTCTGCGTGTGTCATTGTGCGTCACCATAATCTTCCACACACTGCTAGCTTGATAGCTGTGAGTACTAACAATGGCCTTTTTCATTTTTCATAAAGATAATTCTGGGATATTGGCTTTGAAAGGGAGTCCTGAAAGGGAGTCCTGAAAGGGAGTCCTGAAAGGGAGTCCTGAAAGGGAGTCCTGAAAGGGAGTCCTGAAAGGAGCGCTGTCAGTGTTACAAATTGTTGTTCTTCGAGCAACTGTCATTGGAAAATAGTTAGCAAAACTGTTCTGGGTTTTTAGTTTAAATGATAAAAATTAGACTAACTCTTAATGGCTTCTTAAGGTTACCTAGCCACACTTTGTAACCCTGGATAATGTAATGTTAAGGGGTGGTAGAGAGGACTGATATTTCTAGGATAAATCATTGAGTTTGAGTTATCCAGTGACAGATATCAGTACATTTTCTCTGCTCTCAGTGAGTCTTTGTGATTTGTGAAGCCACACACTTTATCAATCAGAAGTCTTTAGCAAAACACTTGAAATCAGGGAGTTTACCTGCAGGAACAGTCACAACAGGAGACCAGTCGCTCCACAGTGGGTTTAGGGCCTTAGTGGACCGGTGTCTGATTTTAACCTGGTAAGCTGTATCCTTTAACAGATTCTCAACAAGCACATGGTCTGTTGGATTAAAACAAAAACAGAGATATTTAATGAGTTTGAAATGTACACATTTTCTATTCTCAATTCATTTATATTTAATATATTTATATTTGCTTCCTATCGTCAATAATACCACATGAAATCGTCAATAAATCGTCAATAAAACCACATGAAAGACCCAAAGCTAACAAAGAATAACACTAAACACTAAAAACCAAATATATATCTGTTCCTCTTCAACATACATGTAGCTCTCCATTGTTGCACTGTTAAATCCTCCTACTTTATGATGAACCAGGCAACTGCATTTTAGTTTGAGTGAATATCACATTCACTGCCGTGCTGCTGTAAACACACACTTGTTCATATTAGGAGAATATAATCCTCAGGAAATGCACAATTTCTTCTCAGTGACATCAATGTTTGACTGAGCATCACAGATAAGACACTGTTGGTTTTGATCTTTTTAAAGAATTTGTTGTGGGAAATAAATATGAACTTAAAAACACTTGAATTATAAAGATTGAAGAGACAACTCACGCATTGAAGTGTCACTGGTGGTATTTGTTGTTATCTGTAATAGCAATACGGTTAATAAGTTAAATGAATTGATTAGCAACAACCTCAGTTGTATTCAACTTTGGAAATAAAATCGTCCTTACTTTTCCCCATGAATCTGTGCGGTGTGCATCTCTGCGTAACAGGATTTCTGCTGCAGCTGGATGCTTCTCTGATGCCGTCCAGCTCAAGCTGAGGTTGTTTTTTAACCAGGACATGGAAATATGTTTTGGTGCTTCATACTTAACTGTTGAGGAAAAGCAAAAATAAATGTTTTGTGATGTTTGTTTATTTACAATTATTCATATAAACGTTTGTACTTTATCAATAGCAATAGCGGCAATAACAGTGTTTTAAACTCTCATGTTGTTGGGTGAAATAAGAGGATCTTCCAGTACCTGTGTGTGAGAGCACAACAGACGTGTTGGTGGACGCGCATCTGGAGTTTCCTATGTGAGCTTCAACCCAAATCTTGACAGAACGATTTTTAAGTCGTTTAAATGGTTTCTCGTTGATCTCAAACCAGGTCCTTGCAATGTTCCTGACTCTTACTTCACTGTGGGTAAACATATAGATCTAGTTAATTGAAAACGACATAAATACATCCCACATGTCCTCAGAGTTAGAAGATACATTTAATGAAGCCCTTAACATCAAACTATTTTTTACTTTAATACTTTCTCTAAACGCAGAGTTTATTTTATTTCTTGAGCATTCACTCCAGAAACTTTACTTGGAAACTGGGATTTTCCTCCAAAGCTTCCACCATCATCCCAGCTGATGTCCGAAACAGTGATCAGTACTGACTGCGAGGAGGGGGGAGACAAAAGTTTTGCACTCCAGTTTTACGATAATACAGCTAGACTTGTTTTGTCTAAAGGTAACAACATCCACCTACCAGTCCCTCGAAGACTAATCAATTCACATGTGATACATATTATTTGTTTGAACTGTATTTTGTATACTTTTAAACAGAGGCAGGCTACCTGTTACCCACTGTTCCAATATTTACACTAAGCTAAGCGTCTCCCAACTGTTGCCTTTTTTTTTTCAGTAGTGCGGTGTCAACCTCCTCATTTAACTATAAGCAAAAAAGCTTGACCAAAAGTGAGACAAATGTCATAAGTTTGCAGAAGTCTGCTGCCTTTGAGGGGTTTATTGTCGAGACAATATGGAGAGGATGGATTGGTGTTTATTAACTATCTTTTATTTGCCAGATCAATACGTACTCACACAATAATAACAAAAGGTCACCTTGGACAATTTTTGGTTGCGATGCTGTCACCATTTTTAAATATTGCAGCTCAAACACAGAACAATACTCACTCAATGTAAAGATCAAATTTCACATTGCTCTCAGTGGTGTTCTTCATGCTCCATTCACACCTGTAATCGGGAGCTTCAGCGGTTCTTCTGAAGCACTCAGGACTGGAAGGAGCATCACATGCTGACCCTCAGGAGAGACACATTTCAAATGATCTCATTTATTCATTTTAACATTTATTTGACTGAGCCTAGAAACCAACAAACACAGCAACAAACACATAAGAAGGTGGCGCTGCAGTTTTTATTCTATTAACCTTTTTCATATTCCAATTGTAAAGTTACCTCTTGATAACATTCTTTTAATTTCATCATGGTATTTCAATTCGACTGTGATAAAAAAAAAAATGATAATACACTTTACAGACAAGGTTAGAGGTTTGGACCAAACACTGAACCCTTTTTATTCTAAGCAGTCAAACTGAGTCAACCTCAACACTAAGAAATCCTTTTGACTTAGTTACTTCATATATATAAAAATAAATACCCAACCAATATGGGAATGATCAGTTTAGACAAAGAGATGCAATCTTTAAGCGGAAACCACATGGTATTGATAGGCTAACCAATATTTTGTGGCTGACATTCCACTCGTACTGATAAAGAAAATTCACTTTTGTATGTGTGCTTTTTATTCTGCGGTGTTTTAAGATGATCAGATAGAGGTTAACAGTAAATGATGTCCTTAGGTATGAGCAGATCATTTATTTACCTTTGCTGACCGTTGTAAAGAGTATCAACAGGATAATGTATTCGTGTAGTAAACTCCAGCTTTTCAAAGATTCCATATGGTATAGTCTAAAAAAAAGTCTTAAAGGCTCATTCTTCAGCATGTGAGAGCCCATGTATTCAACCTGCCTTCACGTAACTCACTTGTCTTTCTCAGAAATGTCAGACAAAGTTTCATGTTCCCCAGACTATATGAGCTGCAGCAAAAACCACGTGTCAGGGGCGGGGGGGAGGTTTGTGTTTGGCACACTGGCAGAAAAAAGTGACAAGTCTTTGAAGTTGTTTTTTTTCTTCTTTTAAAGTTACTTTGCCTACAATGGTTGCAGGTTCCATATCACTGTACATCTGTCTGTGTTTCTATGTCTGTCACTAACTGTTCTTTGGTCACATGAAGATGGATTTGTTTTGTGAGGTAAATATCAAGTTATAGGGTTTCACCTTCCCAAATTCAAAAGCACTCGGAGTTGGATGGAGGTTAATGAAAGGGGTTTCCCATCTTTTGTTTTTCTTAATCTGTTGACAAAATTGAGATGCCAACATTGTTCTACCCAGTGTTAGTCCTGCCAATGATCATTCTCCCCATTATCCCTCTTCCTAAATCTTCATTTATTCCCCCATTTCCCATTCATACAAAGTTCCAATTTCCAGAGAGGGGCCAAAGGACGTGGACGAACACAAGCTCAAAAGACAGTTTCAGCTAATTGAATTGGGATTTGAACATATGTATTGTTGGCTGAAACTACTGTATCTTTCGAGCTTGATTTTGTCCTGTAAATGATCGGTTTACCCGTATAACAAAATGTTTTGTTGACTTTTATCATAGACCTCTGAGGATCATTTGCCCTTCTCCAGTGCTCCTCTTGTACAGAAGTGAACTTTTCAAGATAAAAGTCATTTTGTATGAAACTGAAACGTTGTGTAAATAGGAAACGGGGAAAGGAATGAGGAAGTAAGAAGAGGGAAAATGCGGGAGAAAGATTGACGGTTGGACCAAGGCAAGCTAGAAATATAGTTTTAAAATAGTTGTACAATGATGGCATCCCAATTTAGTAACAAACTACAGCATCATTTAGATACATATATTTTCAAAAACATTACGTAAAATGAAGATAACAATTTTTATGAATGGATCACTGTCCTTCAAAACACACAGAGAATCAACATTCCACTGTGCATTCTTAAAATTGTATTTATTGCTTTCAGAATATAAGCCAAATATTATGCTTTTTATGGTCATCGAACTCCATGAAATAAACATAATCAACTGTCATTTTGTCCTACTACCACATACTTTCTAGTTAGCTAAAGCCTGATATGTCACAGAGCTTCATTGTTGTCAAGAGTATTTTAAATGAATCCCACACATACACCACCCTGCTGCTGTAAATACTCACAAGAGCACATGTGTCAAACTCAAGGCCCGGGGGCCAAATCAGGCCCTTGGTGGATTTAATTTCGGCCCGCAGGATAATTTCTAATTACTATTAGATCTGGCCCGCCGGTATATTGCACACACACCTTCACTCAATCCTGAGGATTTCCTCAGCTCAGAGCCTGACCCCAAACATTGATGAACTTGCCCCCAAGATGAGATACCAAGTATCTGCTTGAACTAGCATCACAGAGCAGCAAACTGAGTTTCAATGGATGTTTCCTTCTGCACTTTTTCTCTTGCGACAACAGGGCATGTTTGGAAGCTGTTGTTGGCCTGTGGAAAAATGTAATCATAAGAAATGTCTCCGGAAAAGCTGCAGATAGAGCCATAAGAAATGAATGCAACTGATTATTTAATGTTTAATGTTGTTTTTATAGGCAATAATTTAAGCTTTGTTAGTTCCAAGTTTAATATGTGCAATAAGTTCATTTCAATAAGTTTTGCAATAAACATTGAACCAGTCCGGCCCTCGACTAGTACCGATTTTTTTATTTTGGCCCACTGTGTATTTTAGTTTGACACCCCTGGGAGCATTGAATGTGAATTATTCCTACACTCAATATGGACCCACACAAATATTATATGTATCTTGTGCAAAAAATACAGTTAACTGCTCTTTATATGCAATTACTTAGCTTTTTCAAGAATTTAAACTATAACTAATATGTATGTGTAAATGTCAAATTTTGAGCAATAATACGTTACATTTCCTTACCATAAATAAGAAATGTTCAATGCACAGAGGAAAGGATTATTTCGCTTTATACGGTTCTCTTTGCAATCTGGCAACTGGTAACTACATTTTTATAGAGGTTGATGCCCTAAAAATGTCAGTAACACATCAAAATTAAATGAAAAGAGAAAATCCAGGCAGATGCACATGTTCCCCTTCTGCTACAAACCCCTTGGACTAACTACCTTCTTTTACATTACATTACATTGCATTTAGCTGACACTTTTATCCAAAGCGACTTACAATAAGTGCATTCGACCAGGAAGATACAAACTTGAAGAAAAAAGAATCATATAAGTACATCAGGTTTCATAGAGCCAAAACATTTCAAGTGCTACTCAACTGGCTTTAGATAAGCCAGTCCTTTATTAGAATATAAGTGCTTTGTTTAGAAATTCTTTTTTAGTAATTCTATCGCTCGAAGTGGAGTCGAAAGAGATGTGTTTTCAGTCTGCGCCGGAAGATGTGTAGGCTTTCTGCTGTCCTGATTTCAATGGGGAGCTCATTCCACCATTTTGAAGCCAGGATAGCAAACCCACGTGTTTTTGCAGATGGGAACTTGGGTCCCCCTCGCAGTGCTGGTGCAGCGAGCTTTCTTCCATCCTGATGGTCTACATGCAGCTCACTTAGTGGCGGACATAGAAACGCAGACACATTACAGTAGGTGTCTGAACTCTGTTGCTGTATTTTCCAGAGTCTCCTTCCGTTTGTCTTTGATGTAGATTCTGCAACAATTGTAGGCAAATTATTTGAAAAGAAGGTAAAGAAATTACAAAATTGGTTTGAAATGTCATCACTTTCAGGATAACTGTTGTGTGTGTCTGCAAATGCGTCAAACCCAAACCTTCCCCCGCCCCTGACACTTGTGGTTTTTGCTGCAGCTCATGAGGGACGTGAAACTTTGTCTGACATTTCTGAGAAAGACAAGTGAGTTACATTAAGGCAGGTTGAATACATGGGCTCCCACACGCAGGAGAATGAGCCTAAGAGACTTTTGACACAATATCATGGAAACTTTGAAACACTGGAGTTTACTACATGAATGCACTGTTGTGTGCTTGCTCTTTACAACGGTCGGCAAAGGTAGATACATGCTATTTATCTTTTCTTATCTTACTTTAGTTAAGTGACTTAATGATAGCATTTACTGTTAACCTTTTATCTGATCATATAAAAAGAAGACAGTGCAATGTTTTAGTCACACATATGAAAGTGAAAATCCTTAATCAATAAAAGTAAACTGTCACCCACAACATGTTGGTTAGCTTATCAGCATCTGGTGGTTTCCACCAACAGATTGTATCTGCAGGGTGCTGCTCTGTGCAGCCGTATTGAAGTGCTATCATAATAGTGTTGTCTAACATGGTTATACACATATTGTTGGGTTAGTTCTTTATAGGATGTACAAACTAAAATATAATTCCTCAGTTTTTAACTTGACTTCTCAGTTTGACAGATCAGCCTTAAGGGAGGAAGAGGTTCAGAGTTTAGACAAATTGCCAAACCTCTAACCTTGTCTGCATGGTGCAATAAAAAGAGCCTCACAGTATACCTGAAATAACAGGAGACAATACATTTGGAGTATCAATATATTAGGTTAAATAAAATAAGAAAACAGCCTCTGTTTTATTTCTAGACTCAGTAAAATAAATGTTAAAATGGATAAATGAGATCATTTGAAATGTGTCTCTCCTGAGGGTCAGCATGTGAGGCTCCTTCCAGTCCTGAGTGCTTCAGAAGAACCACTGAAGCTGACGAATACAAGTGTGAATGGAGCATGAATAAAACCACTGAGAGCGATGTGAGATTTGATCTTTACATGAACAATGTGTGAGTATTGTTCTTTGTTTGAGCTGCAATATTTTAAAGTTGACATCTACTTAACCAACAACGTTGTTCAAGCTTTCTTGATTAGATGAGAAGATTGATATAACTGTGATGTCTTTACATTTAACACCGAGCCAGGAAATGGTTATTTAGCGTTATTTAAGGATAACAATTAACCTGGCTTGTTTTTAAAAAATCTTAAGGGAAACAATTTGGATGTCAAGTGGTCCTTCAGTCTAATGGTATACGGACATGTAAAAGGTTTTTCTTCTATTTTCAATCCATTCAATAAAGCCACAGAAACAAAAATGCGCCCAAGAAGACATCGATAATAATCACCAAGGATGAGCTTGGAATCGTAGAGGAAGAATATGTCATTAGGGTTGAAGCTCACATAGGAAACTCCAGATGCGCGTCCACCAACACGTCTGTTGTGCTCTCACACACAGGTACTGGAAGATCCTCTTATTTCACCCAACAACATGAGAGTTTAAAACACTGTTATTGCCGCTATTGCTATTGATAAGGTACAAACGTTTATATGAATAATTGTAAATAAACAAACATCACAAAACATTTATTTTTGCTTTTCCTCCACAGTAAAGTATGAAGCACCAAAACATATTTCCATGTCCTGGTTAAAAAACAACCTCAGCTTGAGCTGGACGGCATCAGAGAAGCATCCAGCTGCAGCAGAAATCCTGTTACGCAGAGATGCACACTGCACAGATTCATGGGGAAAAGTAAGGACGATTTTATTTCCAAAGTTGAATACAACTGAGGTTGTTGCTAATGAATTCATTTAACTTATTAACCGTATTGCTATTACAGATAACAACAAATACCACCAGTGACACTTCAATGCGTGAGTTGTCTCTTCAATCTTTATAATTCAAGTGTTTTTAAGTTCATATTTATTTCCCACAACAAATTCTTTAAAAAGATCAAAACCAACAGTGTCTTATCTGTGATGCTCAGTCAAACATTGATGTCACTGAGAAGAAATTGTGCATTTCCTGAGGATTATATTCTGTGTCCTAATATGAACAAGTGTGTGTTTACAGCAGCACGGCAGTGAATGTGATATTCACTCAAACTAAAATGCAGTTGCCTGGTTCATCATAAAGTAGGAGGATTTAACAGTGCAATAATGGAGAGCTACATGTATGTTGAAGAGGAACAGATATATCAGAGTACGGAAACAGGTTTTGGTTTCTAGTGTTTGGTTTTATTCATTGTTAGCTTTGGTCCTTTCATGTGGTTTGTTGACGATAGGAAACAAATAATACATTAACATGAAAAGTAATGAATTAAGAGTAGAACATGTTTAAATATCCAATTCATGAAATGTCTCTGTTTTTGTTTTAATCCAACAGACCATGTGCTTGTTGAGAATCTGTTAAAGGATACAGCTTACCAGGTTCAAATCAGACACCGGTCCACTAAGGCCCTAAACCCACTGTGGAGCGACTGGTCTCCTGTTGTGATTGTTCCTGCAGGTAAACTCCCTGATTTCAAGTGTTTTGCTAAAGACTTCTGATTGATAAAGTGTGTGGCTTCACAAATCACAAAGACTCACTGAGAGCAGAGAAAATGTACTGATATCTGTCACTGGATAACTCAAACTCAATGATTTATCCTAGAAATATCAGTCCTCTCTACCACCCCTTAACATTACATTATCCAGGGTTACAAAGTGTGGCTAGGTAACCTTAAGAAGCCATTAAGAGTTAGTCTGATTTTTATCATTTAACCTAAAAACCCAGAACAGTTTTGCTAACTAATTTTCCAATGACAGTTGCTCGAAGAACAACAATTTGTAACACTGACAGCGCTCCTTTCAGGACTCCCTTTCAGGACTCCCTTTCAGGACTCCCTTTCAGGACTCCCTTTCAGGACTCCCTTTCAGGACTCCCTTTCAGGACTCCCTTTCAAAGCCAATATCCCAGAATTATCTTTATGAAAAATGAAAATGGCCATTGTTAGTACTCACAGCTATCAAGCTAGCAGTGTGTGGAAGATTATGGTGACGCACAATGACACGCGCAGACAGGAAGGTTGGTTGAAGTCCTGTGACAGCCACAGATATCAGACCTTTTTGTTCTTTGTCAGAGCATTTGATCTATTAATAGCAGTCAGGTTGTTATGAGTATTTCAACACCTATAAAACACCTCCCTAAGAACATTAGGCTGCCCACCCTAGATTTGTTTTTCAAAATGCATACATGCTCCTTATTTGTACCTTTGTAGATGGAAACATGTGAGCAGATGCAACCTTAAGATACTAGCCTTATTAACACTATCTTGTATTTTTATTGCAGAGCTGGAACAAATACCTGAAGTAACCATGAATATAACCCTTTCAAATGGGACTCGAAAGGTGGTGCTAACGTGGAAGGTAAACCAGTGTCCGGAAACAACACCAATACATTCATGCTGGGTCGAGATTAGAAAAATACATATTTACTACAGTTGTGCTTGATGTGTTGGGTGGCATGTCTCTTCTGCCTGGGACCCCCAGAGCGTCTTGGGGCGCCACTGACTACATACAAATATAGGGATGCATTTAATAAAAAATAAAAATGCTGTGTATATTCCTGACATTATGTATGTAATACAGTAAATTCCTTATATTCACAATGTACGCAGTTAAACTCTTTCTACCGCAAAGAAAAAAAACATAAAAATGTTTTAATTTGACTGCAAAGAACCAAATTGCCCTTGAGGTTATTGTGCAAAATTAATTATATATACCATTAAGGTCCGCGTTGAACTATTAGAGTATAATTTAAGCTTCAGGTTGTCTTGTCATTTTATAAAACAAATGTTGCCAAATAGAGATAAACATTTTGTGACTATTTTAAAAGTTTAAAGAAACTGTTCAACCTCACCAGTTTGAATGAGTTGAAACCTGGCACATAAAACTCTCTTGACTGTTTCTAAACAGGGTTTGTTACACTTTTTCATCTTAGATTTCTCTGTTTCACCTGGTGCTGCTTTGTACCACTCACAGTTTATCATGGTGACCTTGTTCAGTGGTTCACTTTGCTGTTTGTCTCTTCTGCTCTTTAGAAGATGCCCCATGCCGAGAATTACAGTCTGAATGACACACAGTCTTCCAATGGCTGTAATTGTACGAAGAAAAGCATCACCACGAATGAGACTAAATATACTACTTTTGTCTCATACTCTGCCGTCAACATCTCTGTAATCGGAAGAAACGCAGCAGGAAGTTCTCCACAAGCAATCCTACAAATACCAGCCGCAGCTGCAGAGTTAAAAAGTAGGCCGAAGTGTGTGTGTATGTGTGTGTGTGTGTGTGTGTGTGTGTGTGTGTGTGTGTGTGTGTGTGTGTGTGTGTGTGTGTGTGTGTGTGTGTGTGTGTGTCTGTGCCTGAGTGTCACATATCAAGTATGTTTATCCTTCAGTCGACCAACAGCTAATATTTATTTTCTTCACGGCAGTTTGTGACAATTCATCGGATGTGCTTAAAAAATTAGAGAAGAAAACATTCGTTGAGTTGTACGAGCTTCAAGATGGAGATTCAAGGCCTGAAAATGTGACGCACTTAACAGCAAAGAGTACGAAGAAAGAAAGGAAGAAAGAAAGAATGGGTTAGTTCTGTCGAAAGACTACAGAAAGAAAAACAAGACTAAATCGTTTTCATTCAACAAATGTTTATCAGTGGTTTTTCTCCAAAAATCTTATTTTGTATATTTGATGTTGTGACTCACTATAAGAACTATTTTCTGTGCCAGGAAACTATAAATCTGTTTGTGTTACAGACATAAAGGACTACGTTCGCTACCTTTACTTTAAACACAAATGTGTTGGCCGGAAACTACAAACAGTAACAATGTGCATCTATTATGGAAAAGAGGATGGTAAGTTTGTTTAAATTAGATTTAAATACAATAATACAGTATACGTCCAGGATTTCACACAAATCACAAAAAGAGGTCCCCCTTGATGTCCCTAAATAAATAAATAAAACATAATAAAGTGTCTTATAAGATAAGGTTTCCTCATAATTAAACACCATATTGGCTACCATTCATGTACAGTCCAACGCTGATTTACACTTTAAGAGATGCTATAATCCCACTGGTATTTACATCAGGTATTGCCCATTCATGATAATCCTTACTCCTCATCTCATGTGTGCAACATCAGATACATTATTGTATGTGCATGTTATCATGACTGAGAAAACAGTTATTTACCTGTCTAATGTTGCCAGCATGCAGTGTATTTATGAGATATGATTCTGACACTGATCCAGGTTAGGCTGGTGATCAAGTTTCAGTAAGCACAGCTAAGTTTATTAATTAAGGAACTTTGACCAAACATTTTCTTTTTCTCTGCAGCTCCCCAGAGAGAACCAAAGGACTTCAGTGCTTTCAATGAAACACACACTTCTACTGACTTGTCTTGGAAAGCCATTCCCTCTGCAGACCAGCGAGGTTTCCTCACACACTACAGCCTGTGCAGCGTGAAAGTCAGTTCACAAGATGAGCGCAAAGGTTGGAAACATCGTTTTACTCATCTGTAGATTTTCAAGTAAACAATTAGATTTACTTGATTATGTATTTGTATGTATATTTGACCTACTTTTGATTGAACAACAAACTCACTTTCACAGCCAAGTGTGTTTAAGTGTCAGCAGTGTGTCCCTTTCTGAACGTTTTCCCACATCTCATTTCATCAGAGTGCCATAACATATCAGCCTCAGTGATGAAATATAGGCTGGGAAACTTGACGCAAGGTACTACATACCGGGTCAGCCTGGTTGGAGTGACCCGAGTAGGAAAAGGACCTGAAGCCACAGTCACTATCAACACGCCGCCAGAGAAGCCTGTGAACGGTATGAAAACTAAGCTGTAGTTTTGTATTTTTTACATACAGGTCACTGTAGCCGTTTTTACACATGTGGGAGCAAACACAATTTTCATTTTCTCTCCAAAATTAGTGTTGTGGAGTCTCTGCCTGCTGATTCTGTTTTTTTTACTCACAACATTGTGCACCTGCATCTTGAAGAGGTAGGTGAAGCCTCGTGTAAATATTCTACAGTTTGAGATGAAAATATTAATAAACCTAACAAATTATACAGACAGACTTAAAGCTGATTCAAACTCAGACTAACACATACTCCGGTTGTTCTGGCAATTGTTTTTGTGACCATATAGCAAATTGATGGTTTAAGTTGGTGAAGGCAATCTGTACTGGTTTTATTATATGTCCACTCAGTTTTTCAGAATATGTCCTATTTTGTTTTGTTTTTAACCCTCTTCTCACACTTAGAATCAAAGAAAACATCTTCCCTGCTGTTCCGACACCTATTATTCCAGATTTCATACCTTTTCAACCAGAGAGTCAGGTAAGAGACAGTTCTTTACGGGTTTGCAGCTGTTTCTTCTAAAACCAGTTGAATCTTCAGTTAGTTCCAGTTTCTCTAAAAGATGGGCCATTTCTTACTATTATGTTGTAAAATGCTGTCTTGTTTGTTTGAGTTAATTGCGCAACTATCTCACACTAAATATGGTATACATTTTAATGTGTTCACTTTTTGTGAGTGGAATAACTTAAATTCATTGTAAATGTATTAAACTTAAACCGATGTTTTGATTTTATACTTGCATATTATTTATGCTATTAATAAGGCAGCGATCTAAGAATATGCCTTTTACACTCTGTTCATATGACAATACTAGAGTTTAAAATCCAAAATTCAACATTCCTCTGCTAATTTGAACAGGATTTTCTGGAGAGAAAGGAGGAGGTGGATGAGCTGACACTGCTCCAGCTACATCCAGAAGGAAAGTCTGTCCCTGAGGACGCAGAGGAGAGCGCTGTCTTCGCTGGAGAATGGGAGGAAGACACTGATGAGGACGAGGACAACGAGAGATGGGATTCAAGGATGTCAGGAGGATCCAGTGATGAGTGTCTGAGTCCCGGCTCTACAGGGGAGGCACTGAGGAGCTCCAGAGAAGGAGAAATTACAGATGTGGAACAGCTGGACAATGAGATCGCCATGCTGATATACAAGAAAGGTCTGGTCTTCGATGTGAAGAGGGACTCCCTGTGAGATTAATTGAACTGTTCTTACAGCACAACATTGCACAAATGGGCTTTATCAAGGGTTGACATACTGTATTTGTTGACTTTCTCTGGAGACCTGACAAATACTTTTATCTGAAGAATTATTATGCAGGAAATATTTTTTTTCAATGAACATTTTTCAGCGTGCCTGTATATGAAAAGTTGAGCATTTATCAGTCACAGGTTTTGTCAATACACATTGTCAATACATCTTGTCCAATGGTAGAGAGCAAATCCTGGTTCAGACTTTTAGGATTTTGGCATTTGTTTTGCATATTCCCAATAAAACAAGTATTATTGCCAAAAAACCTTATTCAGTTACTAAAGGACTGAACGCAACTAAAATGTTGAGGTACTGGTTCTGTACTCACTGACTGCTCATAAATACTTCTACTCAGACCACCTTCTTCTAAAAACTGAAATTGTACATGTTGCAATGTGAGGTGCAAGTGATAAAACGGAGAGGGTTTTCTTTAAAAAAAAAGACAGGCATTTTATTTCTTAGCCTGCCACAAAGACATTATTTTAAAGAAACTGCTTGTTCACCAGCAAGGAAAAAAATGCCACACCGAATTCCCAGTCACATTTATAGCAGATTACCCGCCTTCCAAATTCAACCTGGCCAATCAGGTCATGACTCTGAAAAGGGTGAGTGAAGAGTTAAATACAGAAATAAACACTGTTCTCTACATTTAACAAAATCCTTAAGGCCAAAGTAAGTTCATCATTTATCAATACCAATATTACAGCTTCAAAAACAACAAGGTCTGCTTAAAACTGATAGTTTTTAAGCTAATTGAGACACATCAAATCACACATTTTCTGACCGATCACATCCAAGACTCCGCCTACTCATACGGCACATATAAGGAGGCGTGATCCCCTTTGAGCACTGGCACGAGATGGTAGGTCCATACTTGCCAACCCTCCCGATTTTCGCGGGAGACTCCCGATTTCATTGCCCTCTCCCGGTTTCCTCCCGGGGTCATATTTCTCCCGCATTTCTCCCGATTTCTGACAAAATCAGATTTACTCAGGACTGTTTCCACTCTGACTTTAATACAGCTACACCATTGTTTGGTTTCCATGGTAGCGTAGCGCGCGCAACTGAAAGTCTGAGAGGGTGAGGAAGATAGTCACAGCAAACAGAACAAGAATCGACAATTCTACCCTCTGCTCACTCCTTTCCTGTAAAATACAGGTCCAGCCCACACATATGGTGCTACAGGCCGCAAGGCAGTGCACTTACAACTACAATAAGCATGTTAATGTTAATCTAATACAGCTCCGGCGATCCACTAGCACCGCCCCCCACCGAATCTGTGGATATTGCATCGACCGACCAAGAAGCACGTCTCCGTGGAGAGGACGCGCTCAGAAAGAGAGATATTCTCTACAAACACCGGGTGAGATCGCTCCTCTGGGACACGCCGGTCCTGTGTTTCCTTTTTTTGTGTGGATTATAGCCTGAATAGGCCTACAAACATTTCTCTTTTTGCCGCCGACGGGCGCAGGAGCAATGAACAATAATGGCCTGGATTAGGCAGTAAAGACAATTTTGGTGTATCGCAGAGTGGACTGTTTAATTTTGTTTGTATTTGTTTGGCTGGAAAATTGTCAATATAATGGATCAATGCATGAAATCTGACTCTGTTTATTTTGTTTAAGGAGTATATTGGGCGTTAACAATTCTGGTTTGCCTTTTATAATATTATTTCATTCAAGAACCCCTTGTGCGTTTAATTAACACAGCTATTTTTGATAGTTGATCGTTACAGATGGCTACTGGCCATGCTACAGCAGTGAGCAGCAGAGGTGGGGAGAGGTGGGGCTATCGTTATTTTTTCAGGAAATATTCGTATAGAGGCGATTACACGGACTCGTTTGACCCCCCAGAGAGTTTCGTTTGCAAATCTATCCACCTTGGGACCCGTTAACGTTTGTGGGGTCCGTTTCTATCGGCCTCATGTAAATAATAGGGCTATACGCAAGAGAAACTATGCAGATACAAGCCGTTTTGTCCTCGTGTAAACGGCACCTTAGATGCATTATATATTAATTTGCCTATGTAAATTGGTATTATAACTTTAAATGAAATAAAGACAATTTTGAAGAAATAGTTAAGCCAAATGTTAGTGAGGGAGTGTGTGCGCTTCCTCACAGTACAATTTAGAATTATTGAATGATTCAGATTAATAATTAAACATGTAATCAACAAATAATCATACATAGGCCTATTATAGTTTAAGATAAAGTTTGCAGATCTTTTTCTAAAATGATATCTGACAGTCCAATACTTTTTATACTTTTGCGTAGGCTAGGTCAAATTGTAGGATTGAAGGACTTGTAATAGTATTTCAACAATGTTATGCAGGGTTGCCAACTCTCACGCATCTGGCGTGTGACACACGCGTTCACTCTCAATCTCACGCTCTCACGCTGCCCAAACTATTATCACGCCAAAAACAAGAATACGAAGACTAGAAACGGTTTTGAAAACTTTTGTCACGTAGTGATCGTCTTCTCAATAGAACATCTTTGATAATGTCTTCTGGCCAATCAGAATCACGATAACGGCGTGGTGTTGTTGCAGGAAGTCCCGACAGAAAATACTTTTGCGGTAGTACATCTCTATAGAGTGGCGAAGTCCCTCCCCTTCCGGTTGAGCCCCATGGGACCTTATTTCGGAAAAGTTATGCATTGAAGTCAATGGAGAGAGAAAGATTATCTTTCGATCCCAATTGAATTGTGCCACGAATTACACATATGATGTTTGTCAATTTAAAAGATAATTTTGCAAGTAAAAAAAAAAAAAATGTGCCGTAAAACTGTGAAGTAACACATTTGTTTGTGTGAAACGCTAAATGAACTACATCTCTGGTCAACCACACACGTCACCAAGATGGCCGTCACTACTGTCTTGTCAACAAACGATTGACTATCACCACAATGAAACACGTCCTGAAGAATGTCATGCAAAGCTGCCTGCCTGCCTTCCTTTGATTCTCTCTGAACTGCCTGGTCGTTTTAATGTTTAATGTCAACCATTTGTGCAGATAGCATGAAGTAGAAAAGATCGCCGATGCTAACGTTAGCGTTAGCATTTCTCCCCCGGAATTAAATGGTGTATTATAGAATGATCACACCGGTGACAGTACTATTCAAAGGGTTCACGAAATATGACTACTACTCTTACTGTTTGACATTTTGGGTTACTTAATGTTACTTCATGTTAAGGCTAATAAAAATGACAAGGCTGTAATGCTAACTAACGTGCTAACTACTAGCTAGGTAGCTAACTTGATCAAGCCACTCCTGGTCGTTTCATCAGACGGGAAGCAAAAGAACGAGCAAGACCCATTGCTGGTATAATAACAACCTGGTACTAAGCACACAGGCATCTTGTTAAAGTTATCTTATCTTAGCCAGCGCCATATAGATAGATTATATCTATATTGCGCTGATCTTAGGTATCTGAATGGTGGAGGTAAACAATTGTGACATCACTTACGCGACTCTGGGATTTGTAGTCTTTCTAGTTACGTATTTTTCATAGTCTTATATTTCAACAGTTTTACGACAAACTGTGACTTTTTTTACATGGAAATGATTTTTTAAGTTTGACAAACATCATATGTGTAATTCATGGCACAATTCAAACGGGATCGAAAGATAAGTTTTCTCTCCCCATTGACTTCAATGCATAATTTTTCCGAAATAAGGTCCCATACCCCGGAAGTAAGTGGGAGGGACTTCGCCACTCTATAGAGTGGCGAAGTCCCTCCCCTTCCGGTGGACCTCCATGGGACCTTATTTCGGGAAAAATTATGTATTGAAGTCAATGGAGAGAGAAAGATTATCTTTCGATCCCGTTTGAATTGTGCCACGAATTACAAATATGATGTTTGTCAATTTTAAAAGATAATTTTGCAAGTCAAAAAAAAAAAAATGTGTCGTAAAACTGTGAAGTAACACATTTGTTTGTGTGAAACGCTCAATGAACTACATCTCTGGTCAACAACACACGTCACCAAGATGGCCGTCACTACTGTCTTGTCAACAAAACGATTGACTACCCTCACTATCACCACAATGAAACACGTCCTGAAGAATGTCATGCAAAGCTGCCTGCCTGCCTTCCTTTGATTCTCTCTGAACTGCCTGGTCGTTTTAATGTTTAATGTCAACCATTTGTGCAGATAGCATGAAGTAGAAAAGATCGCTAGCGTTAGCGTTAGCATTTCTCCCCCGGGCTTAAATTGTGTATTATAGAATGACCACACCGGTGACAGTACTCTTCAAAGGGTTCACGAAATATGACTACTACTCTTACTGTTTAACATTTTGGGTTACTTAATGTTACTTCATGTTAAGGCTAATACAAATGACAAGGCTGTAATGCTAACTAACGTGCTAGCTACTAGCTAGGTAGCTAACTTGATCAAGCCACTCCTGGTCCTTTCATCAGACGGGAAGCAAAAGAACGAGCAAGACCCATTGCTGGTATGATAACAACCTGGTACTAAGCACACAGGCATCTTTTTAAAGTTATCTTATCTTAGCCAGCGCCATATAGATAGATTATATCTATATGGCGTTATCTTATCTTAGCTATCTCTATTTTAGTGGAGGAAAACAATTGTGACATCACTTACGCGACTCTGGGATTTGTAGTCTTTCTAGTTGCGTATTTTTCATAGTCTTATATTTCAACAGTTTTACGACAAACTGTGACTTTTTTGACATGGAAATGATTGACAAACATCATATGTGTAATTCATGGCACAATTCAAATGGGATCGAAAGATACGTTTTCTCTCTCCATTGACTTCAATACATTATTTTTCCGAAATAAGGTCCCATGGGGCGGAAGTAGATGGGCGTGACTTCGCCACTCTATAGAGAGAGAAAACTTATGCATCTTTGCACCACATTGACATGATAAGCTGCAACAATCACATTTAAATTAAATAAGTGGAGGTGGAGTGTGACTGTGTGTACGTACCATTTGACGATTGACCAGACGATGTGGACCCCATCTGCAAAGCAAAACAAGTTGATCTTACAAACACTTCCTAACATGTAAACAACGCTCTGTATGAACGTGTGAAGCAGAGTGTTAGCCCACCTTGGGGGAGCGTGTCTGGGGTAAGTTGACGGAGTGTTTCAGCCTTTTGACGGCCTCAGTGATGGCCTGGGTCTCCGTCTCGTCCAGAGCACAGCACAGGTTCTTCAGAGTCTGCACCACCCGCTCCACCGTCTTATACTGGGTGCTCTGAATATAGAGATACACGTTGGTCAGAGGTAGGAAGTAGCGGAGTACAAATACCTCGTTACTGTACTTAAGTACATTCCACTACTTATTTTTCTGATCACTTTTTACTTCTACTTCTTACATTTTGAACACAAATACCTGTACTTTCTACTTCTTACATTTTGAACACAAATACCTGTACTTTCTACTTCTTACATTTTCCAAACAGGCTGGTTACTTTAGTTTGAATGTGTGTTTGGTGGCGTGATCATTATTATTTAGAGTCATTGCGTGCCTATTGATTTGAACACGATCCGTGTATCCATCATTTCCTGGTCTTCTCTAAAGAAGAGGGACCAATGAAAACGTTGTCATGTTGCCGTTGTTCAGCATGGAAACATTCATTAGCTAACAATGACATTATTGTTCTATTAATATAAAGGGAGGTCAGGTACTCTTTAAAACAGCTGGTAGTTATGGGTACTTTTTACTTAAGTACATTTCAAAGCCCTCTTTACTTTTACTTAAGAAGTTTTACCAGAGTATTTCAAACACGAGTATCTGTACTTCTACTTGAGTAAAGGATGGAGGTGTGTGGCGCAGTGGATAAGTGCATTGGTGTTCGGATCAGGGGAGCACAGGTTCAAACCCCACTGCAGTCAGCATGTCGTTGTGTCCCTGAGACACTTCACCCCAAAGTGCTCCTGTGGGGATTGCCCACAGTATTGAGTATGTAAGCTTTGGATAAAAGCGTCTAACAAGTGACATGTAATGATTCAAAAAGCTTTTGAATATTGAATAACAAACCAATGTGGTTTACTTGTTATCCACAGTTTAGCTGCTAAATGTTTTTTAGCAATGCTTTTCTTTGTGCTCCACATATATCTAAATGTATAAAGTGTGTTTTCACCTCCGTTCCCTCCTGTTTGCTGCAGTATGGCAGCAGCGGTCAGGATGGACCGGGCACAGGGTGTGGAGCTGCCTACTCTCAGCGGGGGGGAACTGAACGTGGAAACTGTGTTTCTCTGAGGGATCCTCCATGTAGTCTGAGAAGCCTTCTGAGGAAACAAGGTCAAACTATTTAGGATAATACAAGGAACAATGTTTAGGCAGTAAATAGAATTTCAATTACATTTCTACTTAAATGTGCAAAAATATTAGAACATCAGTCTTTGTGGCATGCAGGTAATCAACTGTTTAAGCTTTTACCATTAACATGTAGAATGAATGTTGCAAATTACTTGAAATTAGAGCAACTACAATCTATTGTTTACCTCAGAGTAGCCACAGAGGTCCAGCTAGCATGCTAATTGCTAACGTTATATTATCGTTTTAGGGGAAAACTAGTTTCTAATCCTGAGAGAAACACCTCGCCTGAAACACACGATTAGTGCCATGAGTTAGTGAAGCAAATTACAGAACATTGCACACTTATTCACAAGTCAAAACGTGTTCATAGCGGGCATGGATGAGAATAGCTAGCTAGCTAGATGTTATTAGCCAGTATGTATAAGAGGAAACGTGAGGTGGAGAAGAAGGAAAGGGGGGAAGGAGAAAGCGGGCCTGGTTTGGTCCGGCCTGCTTAAACCGTGCTACGTGCTGCAGTGGAAAAGCGCCATAAGTGTGTTGCTGAACTTAGAGGAAAAATGCAGAAAAGTTAAATTAATTAAAATTATAATTGTTAAAGCTCAAATGCATTGCACTGACTTTGTTGGAAAACTTGAAAGTGAAATGTAAATCTGCATTAGCACTAATTATAGAAAAAAGACAAGTCACTCCAACTTAGCTGAAGTCACAAAGACTAAAATTAGATTTTCCATGTCGCGCAAAAACAAATCCGTCCAAATAACACGTGTCAGTTCATGTGACTTGATTACATTCCTTTCCAATTAGCCAGTTAGCAAACAACACCAAACAAACTCCAAATCAGGGACATGTTGCCATAGGCGGATTTTGCGGGGGGTCAGGGGGGCATTGCCCCCCCTAGTGGCTGAAATATGTTACAGCATTACTATGTCGAAAACTGTTCCAATACAAATATTTCGTATATCAATATTTTAATAAGGTAGGACCAGAGATGGGGTCGTTACTAAAAAAAAGTAATATATTGCATATTACATATTACTTTAAAAAAAAGTAATATATTACACTACTTCGTTACTCTCTAAATAAAGTAACTCGTTACTTTACTCGTTACTTTACTCGTTACTTTACTCGCAGGGCCGGCCCGCCCCTCCCTACAGGCAGATCACGCAGACTGCTAAAGTTTCAAATGTTCTCTTTAGTTCAGTTTCCATTGTCGCATAAGACTGATCCAGATAGCTCTGACTATGGCTGTCCTCTGTCTCCTGCTATCTGTATTTTGCGCAGTATATCTCTGAACGATGCGATGGTGATTCCACTGTGCAAATGGGCAACATTACCTCTACTATGAAGGATGCTACAAGCCTGTCCATCTCTGCTTTGGTTACCGGTCCTCCAAATTCTAATTTGTGCTGCTTCGGAGTCGGCGGCGGCGCACTCACAACATCCTCACTCTGGGTTCGGGGGTCCTTAGCTATTAGCTTCACCTTAGCATGTGTTCTTTGCTGGTGTTTGTTGAGGTTTGACGTGGTGTTTACAGCAGTGCATAACAGCTTCTGGCCTGGACACAGTTTGCACCTCACCGTTACATTCCTGTCTATTCTTCGGACAAACTCAAAATAATGGGCATACCTCCACCCCTCGAAAGTTATCGCTGACTCAGCCATGTTTATGCAGCACTGCACGTAGAGATGTGGACGCGCAAATCGCGCAGATTACGTACATATAAACCTGCGGCGGAAACCCCTCTTGTCTGTCAGTGTGATTATGACTGATTTTATATAAGTAACAAAGTAACGCGTGTCGGGGCAATTATAGTAACTGTAGTGTGATTACTGAATTATAAAAGTAACGCGTTACCGACAAAAGTAATATTATTACAGTAACGCGTTACTTTTTAACGCGTTACACCCAACTCTGGGTAGGACACTGGTTAATAATATTGTAGCGTGTTCAAGTAACCAAGGGATATAGTAGTTATCAAATAAGTATAAGATGTGCACAGTTATGATAAGTTTTACAGTTATGTAATGCACTGTGTTGTTGGGGGGAGAGACCGCCCCTTCCATATGAGTGTGTGTGTACGGCGGGCATGAAAAAGTCATACTCAGTGCGGTGAGCGCTGGCTTTATTGCTACTGTATCCGTAGCACCCCACGCAATAGTTGGGACTGTGTACTGACGTCAGTAAAAAAGGTTTGCCCCACCATGCGCAAATGTCAAACTATGCATGTTGCTCTGCTTCCCATCTTAATACCTTTCCTCCATCAGGGACAGGAACTTAGTGAATGTAGGTAAATTAAAAACACTTAAGAGGACTCACTACAGGTAAATATAGCATCTCAACCAAGAATCCAGGCTAATTAAAATAGACTTTATCATTTGGGGACTTGTACTTGGTAATCATCTCTCACCTGGGGGCCTGTCAAAGGCCCCCAGGTGACATTTGTCCCTCAAACATTATTCTTTTCAACAGGAGAGCGGACCTGTTGCTTCTTTAGAGAATCACAGAGCTCAGAAAAAGGAGAAGAGATGCCTTTAAACAGAAACGCATGACATCTCTCTTTCTGTCTGTTACTGCTTTCACACTGAGCTGCAGTCGATACTCCAACCTGTGGTCAGAGAGGTGAGTTATCGAACACAAATATCTGTCAAAGTGCAATCTATCCACTGTCTCACCATGAATACAAACAACAAACATATTCTCATGTACGGCTATTAGCCGCGTTCACACCGGAGTACTTTCACCGTACTTTTCGCGTTTTAGTTCCGTGAGTACCCCTTATGTCGCGTTCACACCAACAATCGTACTTAATCTCGGGTACTTTTACCCCCATTTTTAGAGCCAGCTCAGAGAGCGTACTTTTCTGTGGGTGAAAAGTGCTCCAAAAGTGCCCCAGTGCTGATTGGCTGGGCGAATTGCAAACCACGCCCGTACAACTCTGAAAATGTTGTGTGGAGACGCCATTGTTTTTCCTCGCTACAAAAACACAACGCTCCGTGCGTTGTGTTTGTTTTTGAAAGCAGTTATGGCAAGCATCAAGAAATGATGAGGAGGTGTCAGCGCTTCTGGAGATCTACGCCGAGGAGGCGACCCAGGGAATGCTACTGAAGCCAGTTCGGTAGCTTTCACTCGACCTGGGAATTGTGCACAGCCCCACCGGCTAAAAATAAAGAAACTCAGGCAGGACTACAAACGGCGGATTCAGTGGCCAACGATGACTACCACGACGAAGGTAAAATCAACTACATGCACTGGGGTTTTAATCTGCACAATAATGGTCTCGGATGTACTTTTATTTGCTCAGTAGATCAAGCTAGCCATGCTAGGCTCCGAGCTAGCTACATCTAGCTAGCTAGATATTCTCGGCCGCTCTGAAAACGTTTTGACTTGTGAATAACTGTGCAGTGTTTCTGTAATTTGCTTCACTAACTCATGGCACTAATCGTGTGTTTCAGGCGAGGATGGACAACTCTCGGGATTGGAAACAAGCGAGCTTTGCATTCTAGATCACAGCGCTAGCTCGTCCTCCTTACCAGCAACCAAACGCAAAGGTACACACACTGTAACTTTGTCTTGAAAGAACGTTACGCATCGAACTGATGTTCACAATCATGTTTATTTCATAATATTCATCATATTTTATGTTTAACTTGCCTCAACAACATTAAACAAAGTTCAAGCATACATGAAGCACTCTTCAAAAAGGAACAATCCTCCGTGTTTGAACCTCTTGAATCGCTGCATAGCCGATTTATTTGGACTGGATTATCCCAGAGAGGCCAAACATTCTTTATAACACAGTTTCAGATTTCTGAAACCTTAATTCTATTTGTGAAAATACAAAAAAGGGAGATTTCAGTGCTTTTTTTACATGTAGACCACATTAGACCACATTAGACCAGGTCCTGATCTAAAACCACTATACCTAGACTCATCAAATCTGGACTGGATTATCCCAGAGAGTCAAAAGATTCTTTAGAACACAGTTTCAGATTTGTGAAACCTTAATTCTATTTGTGAAAATACAAAAAAACATTCCTAGTATGTTGTAAAACTACATGGCGACTAAACAGATCTTGTATCTTCACTGAAAAAAGGTTTTCGAGCTGTACTCCATCCAATTTATAATTGTCCTTTCATTCAATTTAACATTATTTGTTTTATTTCTTCAACTAATAATTTGTTTTTCAATATATTTTTTTAATGTAAATATTTTTCATTCAGAGCTCAACTAAGAAATATCCGTTTTGACGAATATACAATCTTAAGGTTACGCATAGGCCCGCACATGCGCATTAAACAGAAAGCTATAAGACAGGACCGTCTTCAAACAACCCAGGCCGCCCAGGAAGAGAGCCTCAACACGACCGATCTTTTCCTGCACCGGAGAGACAGAGAGCAACCATTACATTGTGGTAAGTGAAAACAACAATTTAATTATGCTGCTGTATTTCGTAGCATACTGTTATTTCCATGCTATATATTTTGCCATTTCTCTGCAAACGTACTTGGTAACATTATTTGATGTCGACGTTGGTAAATGTTAAACTTAGTTTAGTTTAACGTTACACTTGCTAACATTACGTGATGTCCACGTTGGTAAGTCTTAAACTTAGTTTAACGTTACACTTGCTAATATTACGTGATGTCCACGTTGGTAAGTCTTAAACTTAGTTTAACGTTACACTTGCTAACATTACGTGATGTCCACGTTGGTAAGTCTTAAACTTAGTTTAACGTTACACTTGCTAACATTACGTGATGTCCACGTTGGTAAGTCTTAAACTTAGTTTAACTTTACACTTGGTAACAATACGTGATGTAGACGTTGGTAAATGTTACATAAATTAACTCATTTTATCCGTGACTTATTTTACAGCGGTAAAGTTAATTGGCTAGTTATTAGCTAGCTAGCAAGCAGCTAGCATACCACCATGTTATTAGCTAGCTAGCAAGCAGCTAGCATACCATGCGGGCCCGGTGGTTCTAATTCAACTTCAAGTTTTATTTTTGCATTCTATATATTTTGCCATTTCTCTGCAAACATACGTGGTCACATTAGATGTCGACGTTGGTAAATGTTAAACTTAGTTAAGTTTAACGTTACACTTGCTAACATTACGTGATGTCGACGTTGGTAAATGTTACATAAATTAACTCATTTTATCCATGACTTTACAGCGGTATGTTAATTAGCCCGGCCCGCATGGTGATATGCTATCTGCTTGCTTGCTAGCTAGCTAATAACTTGGTAGCAGTTGGTTCAAAGACTCCTGCATATAATGTAATTATCTTAATAAGATGCTGTGTGGTGTGATTTCCAATATAATAAATGCTGAAAAATAAGTGCACAGTATGTTTTATTAATTTAATTTAGTGATAAACGTAGCAGTTACTCCTGAGTTTAATTTGTTTGGCACCCTGTAACAATCTGGGTTTCTCATTTTGCCCCCCAGGAAAAGTAATTGCCCACCCTGCTAATAATATGAACAACTAAGATGGGAGGTGAGAAGGGTCTGCTCTGATCTGAGCATCTCAAAATGATAAAGACAATGGCGCACCCAGCAATTTGTAATGTAATGTCAATTTGACAAACAAGATATGAAATTTCCAATCGAAAAACACTGCTAACCTTACTATAGGTGTGTACAATCGTAGATAAAAAATATAGCTAGATGACTTCATCCTAAACTAAGCCTTAAACAACTATATTGATTGCATTAAAGTTAAATCATATTCTGCCATTGATTTGAGCATTTCTATTGGTGATGTTTATGAAGACTATGAGTTAATCTCTCTTTTTTTCTCCCTCTTTCAGACTCCTCTCACTCTTATCTAGGATATTGGTTTCCTCGGGTGGAAACATCTATATCTTCAGCCACAACCCTCTCATTGCTGCTGTTACGGTTGGACATACAGTAGAAACTTTGTTGGGATTTTTGCTTTTTTGGGGATTTCATTTTTCAATGGTGGGGGGGGAGTTATTGGTTATTTGATGGATGTGGAGATGCAAGGACTGTGGCTATTCATGTACCAGAAGATCTGAACTGCTAAAACATTATAGACTAGATCATCAACATTATGGAAGGCACCGTTCTTATCCCTGCCTATATGAAAACTGCCCATTTTCATGTAAAACATGGAATGCACTACTGAAGCATCTTTGTACACAAGACCCTTCTCAGCAATCCTCAAGAGCAGACATCTCACATTTTAAGTGCCATCTTTGTGACGACAATCAACTTGCTACTGAAACAGACTTTTTTCACCACATTGGCCAACATTTGAAAAATAATGAATTAGTTCCTTGTATGTATGTTGATTGTTCATATCAAACCAACATATATGGAAGTTTCCACACTCATAAATGGAGAAAACACAAAGTGTGTACAGTTAGAGATTTAAAACCTGCACTCGAAGTTCAAGAGGTACACTAACTTTACTCATAGTATGTATATATGTATATATGTGTGTGTAATCAAATGTACGTAAAGCTAAATCACATGCTTTTGCATGAGGCACATATCATTTGTCTGTCTTTGATATATATATATATATCTATACTACCTATATTCCCTAGGTGAATGAAGAATTCCTCAGAGTAACCACAATACCCCTTGAAGCAAGGTTCATGCAGAAACTTGACGAGAAGTGCAGTGAACTAATTCAAGTCGTCACAAAGAAGGGTGGAGCTATCCGGGAGAAGACAAAGCTCCTGCCAATTGTGGAAACGGTATGTACAGATGTTTTTTACTTTACTGCTCACTTACATATATGCCTCAATAACAATAGATATATTTTTCAATACATAATCAATTATTTATAGCATTGGTCACTGATCCGACACAGCAACCTTTTAGCCGGAGGTTTCATAGACTTGGCACATTCATTCTTCATGTTCATGTTTTTCTACATATTTATAGGTGCAGACATCCATTTTGGCGTAATGGGAATTCTTGGCTGTTTTTTCATGGCCTTAATATGGTTGACACACTAATTGACTGATATTGTAATCATTATTTTATCGACTGATATGAAAAAGTGTCCAGCCCTAACTTCACGCCAAACTATGCTCTTTTTTCATGTCTCTACTGTCTAAATCAGGGGTGGGCAATTATTTTTTACAAGGGGCCACTTCAGAAACTCGAGCTGTGTTGGGGGGCCGAATCAAAAATAAATTGAACTTAATTCTGCTCAATATACCAATACTGAAAAGATGTTTTACAGTATGTTAAAGATAAGAAATGAATCAGCTTTATACAAAAAGAAATGAGTGCTTTTGATTTTTGTTTTTCAGTTAATTTTACTTGTTCAGTGAGAAAAATCCAGTCTGTCTTGGGCTTGAACAAGTGCACGGAAATCTGGTTCAATGTCTGAGGTGGATATGCGAAGGACAGCTGAGAGGTGATCATCAGTGATAGAGGATCTGTATCTGGATTTGTTGAACTTCATCACTGAGAATGTCTGTTCACATATGTAGGTAGATCCAAAGAGGACCATCATCTTCTGAGCACGTCTCCTGATGTGTGGAAAGTTCTCCTCTTTCAGGGAAAAGTAAAACTCAGGCAGTGAGACTGACCTAAAGTGCTCTGACAGAAGTGTGTCAGACTGCAGGTCAATGAGTTCAAGCTGAACATCACTGGGTGCATCATCCACATGGCATGTAAATGGGGAAAAGATCATGTTCATTTCATTCTCAACTGTTTTGAAGTCTTTAAATCGCCTTGAAAACTCACCATGCAGTGCTTCTAACATGGATGAGTACCTCTGGAGGTGATCAGCTGATGGTGTGGCTTCCTTCAGTGTTGGCAAGTGCGTGAGAATGTTGTCCTCCATTTGGCTTGAGAGAAGCTGCAGCTTTCTCATGAAAGCCTTCACTGCACTGTACATGTCATGCACAACAAGGCCCTTGCCTTGCAGTTTGACATTTAGTTCACTCATTAGTGCAGTCACATCTACAGCAAAACCAAGGTCTGCCATCCAGTCTGCATCTGAAAGCTGTGGGATGTCGTTTCCTTTCTTCACACAGAAGTCTTGAATTTCTTCTCTCAGGTCCCATACTCTTTTCAGCACTTTGCCCAGGCTGAGCCACCTGACAGCTGCATGGTAGGGTATGTCACGATGTTCAGTCTCACTTTCCTCCAAAAGTGCAACAAACTGTCTGTGATTCAATGCTCTTGCCCTGATGAAGTTAACTATTTTAGTTACAACATCAACAACATGGTTAATTTTTAACACTGACTTACACAACACTTCCTGATGTATAATACAATGCAAAAATACCTATTTCTGCTCAGGGTTAATTTCTGTCACTTTATCCTGCATTCTCTTCAATAGTCCAACATTTTTCCCTGTCAGATTTGGACAACCATCCGTTGTCACGCCTGCCAGCTTGTCCCATTTCAGTCCCAACTCTTTTACACACATGCATTTACCTCCGTGAACAAATCACTCGCTGTTGTTGTCCCTTTCATTGACTGCATGGCTGTCAGCTCCTCCGTGATTTTGAAGTCTGTAGTTATCCCACGTAGGAAGATGAGTAGCTGGGCAGTGTCACGTACATCGCAGCTCTCATCCAAAGCCAAGGAAAAAAAGTCAAAGTTGACCGCTCTGTTCTGCAGCTGAAGCTCCAGATTTCCCGCGATGTCCTCAATTCTCCTCGTAACAGTGCGTCAGGAGAGCGGCACTTTCTCAAATGCCTCCTTTTTCTCCGGGCATATTAGTGTCCAACAAACACTCCTTAATGAACTCTCCCTCCGAAAACGGTTAACTTTTAAGACATAACTCGTCTTGACAGCTGCATCTCTGGATGTGGAATGTTTTGTAAAAATGTGTTGTTGGCTTTGCAGCTTAGCTAGCAAAGCATCTGACCCATTTGCCCGCTCTTCCTCAGACAGGTTCTTGTATTTATCTGCGTGTTTGGTAGCATAGTGGCGACTCAAATTGTACTCCTTGAACACAGCGACCTGCGCACCACAAACTAAACACACAGCTTTACCTTTCACTTCTGTAAATAAATACTTAGCGGTCCATGTCTTGTTGAAAACGCGGCATTCAGTATCGATCTTTCTTTTTTTCCCCTTAGCGGACATTTCGAGGACTAGCCGGCCAGCATCACTCGTAGCTGTTCACGGCATAAGCGTTTACGTAAATAAATAAAAAAAACAGCAGCGCCCTTTTCAAAATAAAAGCAACACAGTTAGAAAAGTATTTACGCCATGCAAGCAATACAGCTGTGTTGCTTTTATTTTGAAAAGGTTGCTGTTTTTTTTCATTATGTTATAATTTATGATCAACCTCACACGGGCCGGCCAAGGCCGGCCAACGGGCCGGGTGTGGCCCGCGGGCCGTAACATGCCCACCCCTGCTAGAGTATAGATGTGAACCATTACCAGTGGCGGCCGGTGGTCTTTTTTTTTGGTGGGGCTCTTGACGTACCGTAAGTGACCTACCCGGGGGGGTCCGGGGGGTTTCCCCCCGGAATTTTTTTTCGAGAAATGACCCCTTAAATGATGACTTCTGGTGATGTTAGAGGGGGGGGGAAAGGAGAAATCGAGGCTTAAAAATATGAGAAGACTGATCAATACCTCCATAATCTTCAGTGTGGAAAATATTATTTATCAACCTGAACATCTACTACTTTACCAGGAATTTGTGTTCTCAGAACTGGTCTGTTTTTTTCTTTCTTAAAACTGTTCATGTTTTATGAACCAACACCTTCACCAAGTAGCTTTACAGTGAACTGCATGTGAGATATAAAATTAATAGCATCTTTTCAGTAGCATTAATTATAAATATTTAAGTGGTTCAATACAAGTCACTACAGCATTTCAAACTGAACTGTGAATAAATGCAATTTAAAAAAAATAACCACAGCACAAAATGTCATAAATTGTGTTTTTTCTTTGTTTCTCTGAGGATTATTTACAAACAGGCTTATTTACATATAGCAATAACTCAGAAATGAAAAAGCTACATCGTCTAACACGAACAACCAGTTAGCATAATGATAATATATGTGTTATGTACAATGTAACTGGCAAGGCTAGAGCAAGAAAGAACATAAAGTTTGCAAAAGGTTTAAATAACTTCAAGTATCTGTCTTCAGATTACGTGGAGGTTTTAGTCCGATGGGAAGCAGATTTTAAGCGACACCGAAGATAAACCAAAAATGTGGTGGAGCTGCAAACCGTGTAGTGTTGCTGGGACAGAACAGGAGCTATAACCGTTGGAAAATACATCACAGACAATGCAACAAACGTGGAGACAGAACAATCACTTCTGTGATAAATGCCCACTTATTAATAAACTTCTAACAACCATGGGAAACCTCCTCTCTACATATAAAGTGATATCCAAGCATGGGAAACAAAAGACAGCATTTACCTGTTTGCATCCAGCTAGCCAAGCCTTTCTTGTGTACCAGCTACTTGTGAAGCCTCGTGTATAAATTTTGTCTTTTTCACGAGATTGCTGCGATATATTCAAATCGGGTTGGTCCGGTGCAAGGTCTTTAAGCAACAATTTATCTGCCAAACTTCTCCTTTCGAAAGGATTGGAGATTAGCTCTTGAACAGAATTAGGCCGGGACCGAGGTCCGGAGACTCCACCTGCACACGAAGCCATCCTCATCAACTACTGCGTCAACCGGATACGAGTCACTGTCCAAACTACTCACAGACTGCACTGGGCGCTGACATTGGCGCCCGGTGACCGTCATCTTTGACGACGCTGATTGGCTGAAATTATATTTTCGCGGCATAGTTTACACGTTACAGATAGCAACAGTCAGCTGCTGGTGGCTGCTGCTGCACTGGTTGAAGGCTCCTCTCTTAGCGCCCAGACGAGAGAAGGTGCATGGGCAAGGCCAGGCAGGAAACATGTGACTTATCAGTAACTTTAGACATCGTAACACAATTTTAAACGACATTTTATTGTAGATTATACATTTTACTGATACCAATTATATAATATTTACCTTGTTCATTAAAAATAAAAATAAAAACATATATATTTTTTTAAACATATTTTTTTTTTTTAATTTTAATTTTAATTATTATTTATTTTTATTTTTTTCAATATGGGAAGAGGTGGGGCGGCGCCCCTAGCGCCCCTATGGACCGGCCGCCACTGACCATTACCCTACATTTTTTTAATTGGTTGAACGAAATACTTTTACCAGTGTTGCTTATTTTCCCCTCTTAGGAAAGCGGACACGGGATGCGAATTTCTTTGACTCCGCCCAGGCGTTGGAGGACCGGCGTGCCGTGGTGAATGAGTCGCTGCGTGGAGATCAGATGGTGCTGTTCACCAAGGCCCAGGAAACGGAGGACAAGATGCTCACCTCGATGGAGCGCCAGGCAGAAGTGTTCAAGCAGCAGATGGAGCGCCAGCAGCACCAGGATGAAGTGTGGGCGCTGCGCCATGAGGAAGGATGAGCGACAAACTGCATTTAATAACAGTTTATTTGGTATAGTTTTTGTAAATGTAAATACTGACACACGACACACAACGTTGCACTAAGGTGTGTATGCTGCTGAGAATATCCCTACACCTGGGACATTTATTTTATATTGTTATTACTGTTATGACTTTATTTTATATATAATGTTTACTGACATGTACAACTGACACTTTATTTACATTTAAAATTGTTCTATTTAATGTTATGTCTTGAGAGTGCAATAAAGAAAACCGACATGGCGATTAAGCTTATTTCTCCTGACACTTTATCTTTAGTGACCTGTGTAGCATCCTATACATCACATGTAAGTGATTATTCTGATACCATCATGTTTCATCGGTTATAAACTGGCAAAGCTTTATTTGTCATTTATTTATCATCAATGTTGCAACCTTGTGGGGGAATGGCAGGGGCACATACACAAATATGATAATTTATATAATTTTAAATATTATTTGACCTAAACTTTTAATTCCCCCCCATTTCACACAACACAACATGGAGTCCACTATGGGCCAAAACTAACATGTATGTTTGCATAGTGTTTATGGCAGACGGATGCAGTGGGTCTCAGGAAGATATAT